CTGACTATCACGAACCATGGCATTCCAGAAACCCTCTACTCCTCCCAGGTCGATCTAGCCCATGCCCTACTCACTCTTCCACCGGAGGAGAAGTGGCCATTCGAAACAACATCTGAGCAAGAGAAGAAGGGAATAAACATTGGGTTCAAGCCTTCAGGAAGTCAGAAGCACAAGCTGGGATTTCACAAGACCTTGGATCATTACGATTTCCCGACGACTAAGAATTCTCATGACGATGAACACCCTAGACTTTTGCACTCGCACCTTGCTCAAGTCGAGAAGCTTATAAGTCACTTTCGTCAAGACTTGCTGCCCAAGCTTCTGGCACTCGTAGCAATGGTACTCGAAGTGCCAGAAGAACACCTTCTTTCTACACACGCCTCTGGTACGCAACCATGCTCAGAGTACCTACGATACCTGCTGTATCATCCGCGCCCTGCAGGAAGTGGGGCACAATACCGAGATCTATGGCTGGGAGGTCACACTGATCTTGGATCTTTCACATTTCTCTTTTCTCAACCAGTCTCATCGTTGCAAATACGACTACCATCCGGTGACTGGAAGTGGGCGCGTTACGTTCCGGGGGCCCTCATCGTGAATGTCGGTGAAGCCTTGGAACTTCTGACTGGAGGGCTCTTCCGGGCTACCGTGCATAGAGTTGTGAAACCACCACAAGATCAGGAGAGAGCAAAGAGGTTGGGGATCATCTACTTCGCGAGGCCGGTGGACAACCAAGAGCTTCACCCCCTCGACAGTCCCCTACTCCAGAGACTGGGCATCCATGGACCGTTGGACGAGAAGATTTTTACAATGTCACAGTATTTACATGCTAGAAAGCATGGATATAAGAGGCTAGACTTTGAGCAGTCCCGGGCAAGGTGGGAGGAACTGGGGCCTGATCGAGGCACACTACAAGGGGAGCATGCACCCCATCCTCTTCATGGTCCAGAGGTCACAACCTGAATAAGAAGAGTTTTTCTTGTCTAAAACTTACTTTTTTTGGTTCCTTGAGCTTCTTTCAATGCCCGAGAAAGTGAGGCTAATCGACACTATTCTCGGACCCCATCAACCCCCTCCACGATGATCCACAACAACCCCAGTCGCTTCATGAACCGCCATTCAGCTTCGGCATCCCAATCCACTTGAATCATCACCAGCTTCGACCGCGTCGATGGTTTAGTGGTAAAATTCTCCGTTGCCATCAAGCAGCGTCGGGGAGCCGGGGGTTCGATTCCCCCTCGACGCAATTCTTTTGCTGTGTGACGCTTATATCGTAGCTTTTTGAATGGGGAAGAATTTGGTAGTCAATTCTAGTTGTGAAGCAATGGACGGGAGCCACTTTTTCGGAATTCGAGTTGGTTTGGTATCATTGGAGCGTGTAGTTGCATCTACTTCTTTGCATCTCTTTCCTTGCAGGCATCAGAGTAAAAGTTGAGACCAGCCTCCAGACGCACTGCACCATACATGGAGCTACTGTCCAAAGGTCTCAAAGCTTCAAACTCTCTTGCCTTCTCCATATGCCTCAATGCGGCCTCGCTAGTTTCCAGCTTCGTTCCCGCATCCTTGGCACACGTGAGCGCATGCCTCAGATCCTTCATCGCGAGCGCCACATCGAATCCAGCCTTGCCATCTGGCGGTGGTGCGTAGGAACCACTGGTAATGCGCTTACTGTAGCTCTCGAGAACGGGACCAAACATGTCCGAGATCATGTTCTCCAGCACCGGTGAACCGAGACCGGTCTTCTCGGCAAAGACGTGGGCCTCGGAGAGGACCTCCATGAAGGAGACGACGACGATGTTTCCGGCGATTTTGAGCAAGCTTGACTTGGTGACGTCTGTTCCCATAGGGATTACGGAGCGTCCCATCACGCCGTTGAGGTATAGAGAGATGGCCGAGGTCGCGGATTCGGGTCCGGCCGTGACGAAGATGAGTTTACCGGCAGCGGCCATTGCTGAGGCTCCGAAGACAGGGGCTATGGATCTGTCAGATTGAAGGCATTTTCTTGACGCTTGGAGATGAACTTACCAGCAATAAACTGGCCCCCGGCCTCGGTGATCTGTTTGGAAACAGCGGCGGAAGTATCGGGGTGGACGGTCGAGCAGTCGACGTAGATCTTGTTCTTAATATCTCCAGACTTTATGATCTCGTTGGTAGTCTCTTGAAGAACGGCATCGTTGCTCACCTTTACAAAACCGCCAGAACATCAGCTCGCATAGGGTGTTCCGGAAGAGAAATTCACTTACACAAGAGAAGATAATCTCAGACTTTCTGGCCACCTCGGACACAGTCCCTACCGGAATGGCGCCCAATTCCTTTAGGGATTCGCCGCGTGATAATGTCCGGTTGGTGTAAACCAAGTTGGGTGCTCCGGATGAAGAGAGAAATTTTTGCAGGTTGGTGGACATGCCGATGCCCATTGAACCAAGCCCAACCCATCCCACTTGTCTTTGCGCCATTATGAAGATTTGAGTGAATGATGCAAGTCACGCGAAAGTCTTTCGACTCTGTGTGAATTCAGAAATGTCTTCTCGATACACCTCGCGCGACTCTCCGAGTCTATAGCAGACGGTTCGTGTTGATAAACACTTGACAGTTTTGCCGATAGCGGCGGCCGAGGCCCGAAGCACCGGACGACGCCTCCGAAGTGACAGGCCGGTTGGGGTCCCGGTCCCTGCAGATCTCGCAGACGGGTTTTTTGTGGGTGCGATGACCTACCGTGCTACCCCAAGGTGTGCTCCACGTGGAGAAGGGGTCTTTTGTTTTGAGCTCCACGTCGAAATCACTGTGATAGACGTAGATATCGTGGAGTTGAGAATGTGGTATGAGTCGCAGCTTGCGTGATAAACAATGGAGATGGACTCGGTCAACTTGCCGCGTTGGCAAGTTGTTGGGTTTATTAACCAGACGCTGAGCTGGAATTTGCCTGTTCGACATTGTCGTCGTCATTCCAAACTCTGCCCTCACGCCATCATTCTCGTGTCACAAATACTTCGAAGACTCAATCTTGCAGCATGTCTTTCGGAAAGCTTTACTGGTACCCCAAGGCGCCTCGCGCTACTCAGTGTCTCTACATCGCCGAGTACAACAAGTGCGTTCTTGGACTTTCCTTGCGCAACATCGAGCAGACTCATGAGGCGCGTATGCTAACAATGGTATCACCATTAGGCTCGATATCGAGTTCGTCGAGGCATGGCCGATCAAGGTGGATGCTAGCAAGGGTGGTGTTGGCGAAGATTACCTCTCAAAGTTCCCTCCGGGCAAGGTGCCTGCTCTCGAGCGCCCCAACGGCTTCACATTATTCGAGTGCATTCCTGTTTCCATCTACCGTGAGCATACAATACTGCCCATATGTTTTTGCTAGTAGCTGACAGTATGTGCCAGTCGCAAAGCAGGACCCCAAGACCAAGTTGCTCGGCTCCACTCTTGAAGAGGAGGCCACGATCCTGAAGTGGGCCTCATTTGCGAACAGCGAGCTTCTGCCTCCCATCATGGCGTGGATCAACCCGGTCATCGGCAAGGCGCCTTCATCACCAGAGATTCTTGCGGCGGCCGAGAAGAATAGCGAGGGCATGGTCAGTGTTGTGGAGAAGGCGTTGACGGGCAAGAAGTTCCTCGTCGGCGATGAGCTCACGATAGCTGATTTGTTCATGATTGCTGCTATCGCTAGAGGATACCAGTTTGTACGTGGCCCCCCTTGCTTGCATAGGAGAGCTCCCTCGGGAAACCATTATCATCAATCTGATCTCGGAGAGTGTCACTTTGAATGCTAATCAACGATTCTGCAGGTGTTTGCCAAGGAGTGGACGGAAAAGCACCCCGCTATCCACGCGTGGTACTGGCGCATCAAGAGCGATGACATCTGGAAGAAGATTGACGGCGAGCCGTACGTGCTGGATGTGCCCGGAGGCAAGCCGATTTGAAAGTGGACAAGACAAAAGTTCAGATATGACAAACTTTAGAGAGTCAATCCCGGCCATCAATGTGACATCCGAGGGGCAGAATAAGATAGAGAGCCAGAGAGACGCGTAGGGAGGGGGGCCCGGAGCTGGTGGTGCGGGGAGTTCTCCGCTTCCGAGAAATAGCGGGGCCGGCTAATCGATGCCCGAATCGCCAATTGAGGCGATCTGATTGGCTCCATTGGGACGGATAGAAGCGAGTTTGACTTAGCTAATCAAATTGTCCACTTGTGCGAGGTATCTTATCTGTCACGTGGGTGGACAAGCTTGACCTAATCAGGATATCTGTATCTTATCTGCTTATCCGTCGCCGGCGGGCGTCCACTCGGTACGTACCTCCGAGGGGTTCCTCGTCCACTTCCACTTTCATTCCGTGAAGCTCCCCCTCGGTGCCGTCCTCCTCCCCCCAGACTTTCGCAAGAATCCATGGCGATGTGCGCGTTCGCATTCTTCAACAATCAAGCACGATATTCTCTTCTTTTTCATGATGGATGAAAGTCTTCCTCGTCCTTTCAAGTGCGTCACATGCAAGAAGGGGTTTACTCGTCAGGTATGGAAATCCTCTGGCTGCAGCATGACGCCTTGCTGTTAGTCGTCACTAACACGACGGCTACATCGCATAGGAGAATCTCAAGCGCCATGTAAACACACGTGAGCCACCATATCTTTCTGGAGAGTCCAGGTTGGAAAACTGACGTCCATCAAGATCATAGGGGCAGGAATGCGCCATGTTTCCCATGCAACCAATGCAGCGCGCGATTTGCGCGAAGGTACGTCCGAATCTTCGCGATACTGCCCGGCTTCGTCACCAGACGTCCAGTCCCTTGGCAGCACCCTGAATCACTCTTTGCTGACAAGAATGGTAGCGATCTGAGGAAACGACATGTGGAGAACTGCCATGTCTCCTCCCAAGCATCACCACCAAAGACAGCTCCTCCTCCTCCAGCCATTAATACACCAAATATCGATTCACCCAGTACAACAGCTTGGATGGACGTCTTATTAACTCACCCACCACCAGCTCAGAATGAAGTAGTAGAACCAATGCAGCAGCACAATCAGACCTATGAGCCCCCATCTTCGGCGTAAGTTCGTGGGCACCTCAAGCTTCGCCTGGCACTAACACTACACTGACAGAATATCCAGCGAGATTCGATGCGTCGAGGCTTTCTTTGATGGATTCCACCGCAACTTTCCTATTCTACACGAGGGTTCATTCCACATTGTATCAACTCAAGTGCCTCTGTTGAACGTAATCACAGCTGTTGGGAGCCTCTACTGCGAGTCTTCATTCGACGAGGCTGCTCGGAAGGCCGTATTCGAGTCCACACTGTCTGCACTACAACAATATGTCAGTATGCTAGACCATCTAACAACTTCTGAATTGAACTGACAGAATGCATAGGTTGAGCAGAACCGATCACGATACCAAGAGATCTGGGTTCTTCAAACCTTTCTCCTCCTCGAATTCCTCGGCATCTACGGCGGCAACGACACGAGCTTCCTTAAGGCTCAGCGCATTCATCGAGACCTAATAGACGCGATACGACTTCTCCAGATGTCTCAAGACAGCTCCCTAGAGTCTCTGTCTACCAACTCTGGCGAAGACAGTGGATATGGCGAGGAGGGTGATGAAGACGACATCAACGAACCGGTCAGCGCCGAAGCTCTCAACGAGCAATGGCAGGATTTCATCAAGAAGGAATCAAAGAAACGATGCGTTTACATGCTCTACCTTCTCGATTCACAACTCGCCATCCTCTGTAACCTCAGACCCATGCTCTCTTCGCTCGAGATCAAGTACGACCTGCCCTGCTGCGAAGATATCTGGCTCGCCCGCTCCGACAGGGATTGGTACGAGCGTCGCCGGCAACGATTCAAATCCTTTGACGAGCCCGACGACAACGCCTATTCACACGAGACACCCCCATCGCAAGGCTTCTTCTACGAAGCTTCGCAGACGCTTCTCCATTCAGGGCGCGGCGACGACAAGGATAATGGCGGAGGGAAACGGCAGCCCAAGAAACTCAGGCTTCTCTGGGCTTCGCCTTTTGCCGCCGTCATTCTTGTTACTCAGCTACAGATGATGGCCCGCGAGCTCACACACGCTAGTTGTCTACTGGAACGGCCCAAGGCACAGCGGCGAGCTCTTTCCATCTTGACAGACAAGCAGCACGCGCAAATATCGCAGGCACTGAAAGGGATTGCCGAGTTGGTACCGCGTAATCAGAAGCCAGTGTTCAGCTTCTTTGATTTTGGACGCATGGACGTCCTTCCAGACGGTTCGGACCAGACTCCGCTGTGGCACACATTCTGGATACTTTGGTACTACACCTCCATCACTTTATCACACCCGGACTCGCTATTGGTGAGCGGTGTTGTTGAGTCTAATCTCCCTCTTGCGATAGCTAGTAAGTGTCAATTCTGCTGTCATTATATGATATGTAACTGATTTTGGGTAGCCGCCGGCCACCTTGCAACACCACGGTCCAAAGATAAGCGAGACATCTACGAAGACCGGGATGTTTTCAGAATAGTGAGAAGCGTCATATCTCATTCTTTCTGTTGCGTCTTTACTGACAATGATTCCCCTTGAAGCTCAATGATCTCGAAATGGCTCTCGATCTGTTAAACCCGATAAAGTCAACCGCACCGCCTTCTCTCGAGAACCCCTTCATCACACTGCTCGGCTTCAAGATCTGCCTCGTGGGCTGGCGGCTCGTGCGTCTCACAATGCCCGCGGCTCAGCGCAGTAGCGTCAGCGATATGAATGGATCTGGAGGGATGGGTATGGGACTAGGAACGGGAATGGGGAACAGTACTAACGGGCGTTCCAACCCCAGCCGCTTTGTTTTGGATGCTATCATGGCCTGTGTTGGGAATGCCGGAGACGATGATGTCGAAAATGCGGCGGCTGCGCTGGCTATGCTGGATGACAGGCCTGTTGACCTTGCACGGAGTGAGGTGCGGTTCCTGGAATGGATCGTTGCCAACTTTAATAAGCGGACGACTTGGCCGGTTGGGAAGTGGGTGGCCACGGTGATGGAGGAGAGTCTCTCCAAGGCGAAAGAGGCTTATGCAGCACCACATAGTGAATGAATTGATGATTTCATGCAGTCAATGCTTTGATACCCCCAGAAACTGAAAGAACTTTGGCTCCGATCAGTTTTGCTTGGCCATTTTGGATTCTCAGCATGGAATACGGCGTGAGGACGGCGACATTATATACCCACCGGCCTACCTGGAGCAGACATACCTTTCTTCGTGAGGACCAGACTGCTCACCCAGAGAGGTCTATTTGTATTCATAAGAGTAATCTTCTCCATTTGCTCTTAGGTATTGAGGTTTGTATTATGCTCGACTTGCAAACATGCCGAGGGAAAAGTAGCTTCAGTGCGGAATCTTCAAAGTTCAGATTACGGACAATAGTCAGCGTAACTTTGTACAGCATCATTCAAAAACATCAACACGCTAGATCCTGGAGTTTTGGATAAGAATTCATTTCAATTCAATGCAAGAATGTGCGCCAATCCATGTACAAACAAGACTCAAGACACTATACAGCCCATCTCTCAACAACAACGCTCTACATATTAGGTGCTCAGGCAGTACCAGTCTTGACGGTAGGCAGGCTATACTGCAAACGCGGCACATTGTCAAACTTTCCAAGCGACTTGTGACCCTCGGGGTCGGTGTACTCGCCATCGAAGGGGTCCTGGTGAACACCCTCCTCACGAGGGCGGTCAATGTCAAAGTCGTAGCGCTTCCATCCGTGCTTTCTCGCGTCGAGGTAGTCGGCCATGCAGAAGATGCGCTCGTCGATGGGCTTGTCGGTGCCCATGCGCTGCAGGAGGGGTGAGTCCTCAATGGGGACGAGCTCGCGCTCGTCGGCGGGGCGGGAGAAGTAGATTACGCCGATGCGGCGGAGGTGGCGCTGGTCCATGGGCGGCTCTGTTTGTGTTGTGTTAGATATGGCCGTCGCGGGCTTTTCTGCTTGAGGTGTTTGCTTACGGATAACTCTGTGGATTGTAGCCTTGAAGAGCCCGCCGGTGAGGCGCTCGAGGGCCTCGCCAAAGTTGACGACGATTCCGTGGGGGACGTGGCGGACGTGACGGTATCTGCCAGTCTCGTGGCAAAGAACTTGGAGTGCTGCGACGGGTTGGGAGAAGAGGAATGTCCAAGTGCCCCTAGACGTTGGGTTAGAGATGAGTTGCATCAGTTGGTTTGGTTAGACGTGGACATAGCTTACCAGTCGGTGTGTCCAGCGAGGAAGATATCACGGTACTTTTCACTCTCTTCCTTTGATCGAGGTTCGCACATCATCTATCAAGTTGTCAGCATTAGCGACATGAGACTCACGCTTAGAGGAAGGTCAACTCACATATCTCAGGTATTCAGTCTTGGATCCACCAGGGGCGTGTGTGGAGAGGACCTTCTCCTCGGGAACTTCAAGAACCATGGACACAAGCTTGAGCAGCTTCACCAAGATGTTGGTCCGAATGTAACTCATGACCTCGTACGTCTCATCCATAAACGGACGGATAATCTCGGGGTGGGGGCGGTCCTTGCTGGTGATGGGTCAGTTACACACTCTAGCTTGTCGACGTGCAGTCCATCACTTACGGATCATGAACAAGCATGTTGTAGTGGTCCAGAGCCTTGGGGAAGCCACCCTTGTGCCCAAGGGGTCCTGCAGGCTTGTATCCGGCGTACAGTCCACGAGCATCCTCTTCGGGAGTTACTACAATCGAGTTTAGCATGGTTCTTTGGGGATGGCAGTGGTGTGGTATGAACCTTCGTAAGGGGCCTTCTCTTCAGGCTTGAGTGTCATCGCCGCATTGGCGATGCGCATTTGGCGTTCGTAGGTCTCGTTGGAGATACCGTGGTTTGTCAGGTAAAGGAAGCCATAGCCAGTAGCGGCCTCGTAAAGGTCTTTGGCGAGCTGTTGGAGGCCCTCGGGAGTATCAAATTTTGAGAGATCGATGTTGACAAGGTCAACGTAATCGACTATGCCGGGGCAGGTCAGCTCATGCTCTTACATGCATTGGTGGGCTGAAGGTGTCGGCGCAACTTACGGTCCTCTTGTGTTGGCGGGGGCGGGCTGTACGGCGGGAGTTGGTTGATGTCGGCGACCATGTTGGGCAAACTTTAGATGGTATCAAGATAATGCAAAGTAATGAAGGAAATGAATCTGATGCTCTTGCGTCTTTGTGCTTCTGTATGCTGGATGTTGTGCTTGTTGGAGTGTATCTGGACCAAACTCAGTTGAACTTTGGGCTGTTATATGATCCCAACCCTTTTCTTTGTCTGCTGCAATAACCAAACATTAACAAAGATGTTTACAGTAGGATGCGTTCCAAGGCAATTGGGAGGACGTGGAACGATGCTCCGCGGGACGTCCGTCCACAGACACCACCCTCCATGTCCACAGACTTGATGCTCAACCAGACGTGGAGCTTGTGGCGGCATTGACAATCCCGGCTGACGGCGCCTGACAAGTTACAACCAAGACAAGGCAGAGAGGAGCTGCCCCAGAGATTGTCGATCACTTGCAGTAGCTCCGTCCGCATCGTTGCTGGTTTACGAGCAGTGGAGGAAGTGGACGTGGAGCTCCTCCCATCGTAGCGCGGGGAAGAGGAGCTCCACGCAGGGATCCGACGCTGCGTCGGAATAGTGATGCATCACACGACTCAGTCAAGAAAGGCAACTGGTTAACTGTCATGCAACACTTCCATTGCCTCGGGATTCTCTTGGGGCCCGGGGTTGGTAGTCGACTATCTGGAGTAAGCTCAAACTTACACACTTTCAGTATATCGACTGGTCCCATGGAAATGCGGCGGGCATTGAGAACAGCCCTTCGACAGACTCAATCCAGTCCAAGGGTTGGAGACCAATCTCGTCAAAGGATGGGAGATGGCTTGTGTCGTCATCGTTCTCATCACCATCATCGACTTCATTGAAGGCGTTGAGATTACCAACCTCATCGGACTGCACCCTTTCCTCGGAGCCCCGACTCCTGGTGGCATCACCTCTGGCTCCTCCTTTGTGAAACCATAGGCCATTGAGCAGCTTTGCGTACTTGGACGCAATGTGATCGGTATCTGTAGCTGCGGCTTCCAAAATGCCTACAAACCGCCGCATCAGGTTGGCTGTTTGGGCGTGCTTCCCCGACGAAATTGCGCCGGCTGCATGAGCTTTATAGAGAAAGACGGCCGAGTGTATCTCATATCTGATCACATACGTTAATCTCGACTCTGGGGCTCGAGAGTTGGCTAGCAATTCTGCACTTACAGGTAAAACCGAGCTGGCATGTATCGCAGGTGTTTCTCGGGGTCAATGTCCTCAATTGCGATCCTGAGCAGTGCCTCCGCAGCATCGACAGCCTCATAGACCATCCGTGCATCTGGGCTTGCCATAGCAGAGTGGGGGAAACACGAGACTCTTGCCACGTCCGTCCCAGACAACGACGCTCTGTACAAGACAGCTTGAAAAGCAAAGGCGTTCACGTAAAGACGTAGGTACTTCTCCATCATCTTTAGGGAGCACTTTAGGTGGGAGGGAGCCGTTAACGGGGTCCAAACCATATCCCACGCAGCAATAGCGCGACTAGCATCATCGATGTACTTGGTGTAGTCCCCACGAACCATGAGTTCAGCAGTCCTTTGCTTGGAAGCAAACAAGATGTCGTGAGCATTACCGAAAAGAGTTGTCAGCTCAACCTGCGCTTGAAGCAGGGACGCAAAGTCATCCCCGGAAGCATATTGAGGCTGAAGGGAGGGGAAGTCCTCTGCGGTGAACCGAGCTGACAATGCAGGGCCCCGGGACCAGAAAGCCTGGCCCATGCGAATAGAGATTTGTCGATCCGACAGGTAAGTGACTGCACGAAAGTCTGTAAGCAGAGTGTCTCTGGCCTCGCAAGTTGGAGAGTAACGTACACGTCCAGGCAAGACGCCTTCTGAGCATCGCCGGATCAGCCTCTTTGTCTGCCCGAAATGAGCTTTCTTCCAACCGTAGAAGATACGCAAGCCGGACGCCCAAGCCAACTATGGACCAAGCAGCCCCTTCGCCTCCATCGTCATTCTGCCCGAGAGTGAGGGGTGTCCATTCTCCTAGCAGCAGGAGACCCTCGACGCAGCCGACGCTTCGGATGGTAGACATTCCCAGCACAACGTCAAGTATCAGGTGTCGCATATGTGCCCATATTGACTGATGTAGTTCTGCCAGGTCTGATCGATCGCGCGAAGCCACTACAAGGGCTGCCGTGAGGAGAAAAGACTCGTGTTTTATCGTCTCGTGAAGGTATTGCGGGAGGAGAACGTTGGCTGGCACTATCGGAAAGTAGGGATGGTAATTGATTGCATAGCTACACATATCAGCGATGTCATGAGACTCAAGCATCATCAACCTACTGTTGCAAGAGATGGTGTAGAAGAGGTGCATCCAAAGCGCCATTCTTAACTGGTGGGTATTCCCCAATGTCTCGCTCGATCGTTGCTGGATTTACTGGAGAGCCGAATGGCAACAATGGATCTTGCCGAGTCTGTTGAATTGGTGAAAGTATCGAACCTAGAGCTGAAGATGCGTTGCCGGGAGTCGAGTCGGCGGGGTTGTCCAAGGTAGGCCCGTCGCCATCATCGTCTTCGGCTGCTCGGGCTAGTATGAGGAGGGCATCTGAGGGGTTCTGAAGGGATCGATGCAACGGCTCTTCCCGGGCCCTCGGAGTTTCTGCCACGGACTCTGGAGCAGCGAAGGATGCTGTTGGTGTCGTTGAGACTGCTGGATGAATATCACTGTCTCGTCGTTGTCTTTTGCTGCCCCGATACTGTGAGAAGTCACCCCCGCGCCGAGAGCCAGCGAGTGAGCATTCGGCTCCCTCACGGACGCATTTTGCGCAGGGCGGCTTGCCGTTCTCTCCAATGCTATTCCTTAATTATAGTTAGCCCAAGGCAAGCAATAAAAGAGAACAGAGTTAGGTTTGAATAAGGTTGTAGGGAGTGATGTTCTCTTGACTCTTGGGATGGCTTAAGCGGAACGCGTTGTAGCTACTGCAAGGAAAATGACCCACAAGTCGCACCGCGTCTTCCGAGCGCGGCATCTCACGCATGCTCGGTATTGTCTGACTCCGGTGGCCTTCGTCATGGCTGAGGTCCCGTCCGGGGAAGAGATGGGGTGGCAGACGTTAGATCCTGGGGTTGCTCGTACGAGGGCTGCGGGGGCCCAGAGACGGTTTTAGACGGCCGATGACCGGCTATAGACGACTATGGATGGCGGGGTCGTAATGTGGCACGCGGGGTACGGCAATAGACGGCGACGGTCCTATGCCACCACCACTTCACTATCACTCTTCATCACTCACAGACACGTCGGTGGTTGGCGGGATTTACCAAGGTTCTGAGAGAAACCGAGTGGCAATTATGAGAGCCGCTGCTCCGTTTGGGGTGCTGACGAGTTGGATATAAAGAATGACATGGATCCGAGTCGAGGCACCCTCCACCCCCTCGTTCGACTCGGTTGTTTCTGTAATCTGCCCAGTCTTCAAGATCTGAGAAGCATTCAAGAAGAAACCTTTTCAGTCTACGAATTCCTCACATTTGCTCATTCTCTGCCGTCATCATGGCTCCCGGGATCCTTCAGTCCGAGTCACCAACATTGGTCCCAGCGACCCTGCCTCAGCGGAAGCTGAAGCAAGACAAGAATGCATCCACCAACTCTACAGAAGATATCTACGGCAACTACTACCCAGCTAATCCAGAGACCCTCAGTCTTGAGTCCAACTTTGGGCCTATGGACCCCATGACCATCGGCTATCTTCAACCGACCACTGCTGACACCCCCATTGAGACTATGCGAGAACGCTTTGAACGTGACGGGTACCTTTTTGTGAGTTCCAAAGGTATTGATCAGCATGTCAGTCTTGCTAACAACGACAGATCAAGAACCTTCTTCCGCACGAACCCGTTCTCGAATGTCGCCGAGCCTACTTCGACCACATGAGCCCGAGTGGCCTCCTTGAACCGGGCAGTGAGCCAGTCAAGGGCATATTCTCAGGAAAGGACACTCGCAAATACCTACCTCCGGGAAATCTCCGTCGCCTGTTTGGGTTGAAAGATGATGCCGAGAGCGACAAGTACGCCGAGCTCATGGTCACTGCGCATGAGGCCGACTTTTACGTCAACTTTTGCAAGTTCCCAGAACTCCGCGAGTTCGTCAGTCGCTTCACCGGCTGGCCATCCCCGCACATGCTCCAGCGAACGATGCTTCGCGCCTTCGTCCCCAACAGCGAGCTGACGCCCGTCCATTTTGATCAAATGTATCTCCGCGCTGGACCGCCGACGAGCTTGACTGCGTGGGTGCCCATTGGTCCCGTGTCGCTCGAGGGAGGCGGCTTGATGTACCTCCAAGGTTCGACAGACATTGGTATGAAGACTGAAGATGACTTTGCTGCGCATTCCCACAACCTCACCGACGAGGAGAGGGTGAGCGCCTTCAATAAGAACATGAATGATGGCGGCTTCCTGAGTAGAGACACTGTGTCTTATGGGAAGGAGACGAAGAGGAAATGGCTGATTGCCGAGTATGAGACTGGCGATGTCATCTTTCATAACCCTTACATGGTGCATGCAAGCTGCAAGAATAAGGATCCCGACTCTAGGATCCGTCTAGCCACGGATCTGCGATTCGTTGATCCCGAGAAACCTTATGACAGGGTAAGTTTCTTGAACTCCCCGTGATCGCGATCGCGACTAACACGCCACAGCGCTGGATGAAGGTATATAAGCCACTTGATGGATTGTAAAGATTTGGTTTGGAGGAGAGCACTGTAATAAGCTCACATCATATAAACTACTTTTGGGGGTTGCCTCCTAGGATAACAATTTGACATACCCAATGCAATTTAACGCCAGAAATCTTAACGTGCTCAAGTCGATCCTTCTCCCAGCTCAAAAGAAATCGAGTTGCACAAGATGTGTTGAAGTAATCATACTCTTCTGGCCAAAAGATGACCTCAACAAATGACCATCGTCTTGTTGTCCAGGACTGCGATCGAAGTTCATATGGTCCGTCATACATGCTACCCGGGATTATACTACTTGATGCTTTGCTAGCATCGCCAGCGTACCTCAGCCCTGGGACCAAGGTTCTCAAGCCGCTCAGTCAGAGCCTACACCAAGACATGCTCCGCGCAGAAGAACGCCAAGCGGTGTCTTGTAAGCCATCTCCGCGTGGCACGCCACCTCCATCTACAACCGACGCTAGGTGTCCCGGTAATCTACTAGACTCTGACTCGCTGTAGGCGCCAACACCCGATGTGTCTCTGTAACTTTCAGGACGTGACCCCCTGCCTCCCTGAAACCCTTCCCCAGTACCCCGGATTTGGGGTTGCGGGGTGAAGGGCTGGGGTAACTGATGGGTGTAGTACGGCGCGCTGCTTCGGATCTTGCCCCGAGGTCCATGCCATTGGCTTCCGTCTATTGCCGCGGACGCCATGTGGGAGTGTTGGAATGATGGGATGCAGATACGCAGTAGGAAGAGTCTCAAAGTACTTATTGAGTCCATCCGAACATGAATCTTCGCAGTCAATGAGACGAGTCATCTTCAGCACCAGGTTTTAGAAGTCGCGACCAAAACTTTGGGCCAGCAGAACAGAAACGATGGGCATCCTACAGAAGATTGTTCGTAACGAAGCAACGAGGAACGATCCTCCCGAAATATACAATGCCCGGGTCATTCTCATCAGCTTAGTGGTAAGTTGCGTCTACTTAGCGACTGGAAGATGACAAGGCGCTCACAGAGATAACCTATAGGCTTGCGGCGGTGCCCTCCTCTTCGGTATGGATATGGGCATTATCGGAGGCGTCTTGACCATGGACACATTTAAGAAGTGAGTTACCGGTGATCTCCGCAGTGATTGGTTCCTCTTTGCTAATGCCGCATCCTTTCAGGCAATATGGCCTCGAAAATCAGCCCAAGACCGTCCTAGCAAACCTTGAGTCTAACATCGTTTCCGTCATCCAAGCTGGAGCCTTTGCGGGTGCCTTGTTTTCGACATGGCTCGCCAACAGAGTTGGTCGACGATTCTCTCTCATCATTGCTTCGATACTTGTCTTCATCGGCGTGGCACTTCAAGCCGCTGCTAGTGGTCATATCGAAGCCATGTACGTGGGCAGGTAAGCAGACGACTCATAGCCCCATGTAAGGGTCTCCATATGGGCGAGCTAACTCAGGTGGTAGACTTGTTGCTGGAATTGCTATTGGAATTGCTTCATCTGTCAACCCGCTTTACGTCTCTGAGAACGCACCGCGAGGTATCAGAGGTCTCCTCACCGGGCTTTACCAGCTCAGCATTGTGACTGGATTGACGGTCAGTCCGCCCAAGCCTACAATGAGTATACTACTAGATCTCAATGCTAACGTCAATGTCGATCAGCTTGCGTTCTGGATCAACTATGGCTCTCTCCTCCATATCAAGGGACACACGCAGTACATTATTCCGCTATCGTAAGCAGTAGATCTTAGCTTTAGTTCATTGGCAACTCCACTGACAATCCCCAGACTTCAAGCATTTCCGGCCGTCATCCTCTTCATCGGCATGCTTCTTGCCAACGAATCGCCCCGTTTCCTCGCCCAGCGATCTCCCGACAAAGCCCTAGCCGTCCTAGCAAAGCTTCGAAATCTGCCGGCCAATCATCCATATATCCAACAAGAGATGGAGGGCATTTCCCGGCAACTTGAGGAAGAGAGGGCCCTCTCCCTCAACGCCAACCACTTCACGCTCCTGAAGGAGGCCTTCACTGTCAAGTCCTACCGCAGACGCAGCATGCTGTGCATCACTCTTATGATG